GCTACGTATAACTCGGGAGATGACTGTCGTAGCAGAGGCTTACAAGGTGGTGACTACTTGCACGATAGTAGTCATAGGCCGAGCTACGTATAACTCGGGAGATAGTTGCCGTAGCAGAGGCTTATAAGGTGACTACTTGTACTCCCGAGAACAGAGTCATTGGCCGAATTACGTATAACTCTGGAGATGGTTGCCGTGGCAGAGGCTTACAAAATGGTGACTACTTGTGCGAGAGTAGAGTCATAGGCCGAGCTACGTATAACTCGGGAGATGACTGTCGTAGTAGAGACTTACAAGGTGACTATTTGAGCTAGAGTAGAGTCATAGGTCGACCTTCTTTGCGACTAACGAGAGAGTGCGAAGCTGGAGATATAGGCTGCTGGAGAGCAGTTGGTGCTTGAGCGGCAGGCACGAGAGGATGCCGCTGAGAAGTTGAGGCTAGCACATGAGAAGGCTGCCCAACTTTGAGGCTGACCTTCAACTAGTACTTGAGAGAGCTACTAGGACAAACGCTCACTCCATAGAGATGGAGGAGATGAGGAAGGCGTTGAGGAGATGAATTGGGTGCTAAGGAGCTGGGCGCCTGGTGATGAGCGTCTCCTGTCGGGCGCGGACGTCGAGGGACTCTGGGCGTCTTTGGGTGCTGACGCCGAGGAGCTCTGGACACGGACGCCACTGGGTACGAACGTCAAGGGAGATGGGCGCTGGTGGGCATGGACGCCGAGGGGTGTTGGTGCCAAGAGCGAAAAGGTCCTTCTTGGGTGACGTGCAAAAGGTGGGCGACAGCCAGCCTGGGCGCTGTTGACCTAGGGGATGCCAACTTGGGTGCTAGCCTGGGCAGCTCCTACTACTGGGCGCTTGATGAGAAGGTCACTATTGATTTCTCTGGCTTCGTCCCTTATGAGACACCAGTAATATTTGGTGAAGGGGAGTACCTTGATTATAGTGGTTATGGCTCACAAAGTAGTGACTGACCGTCAATAGTATGACGATTGTTGTCCTTTTGTCTACACTTTGTTGTTAAGCCATGTTCTAACTTTTATAAGTTGGTTGTAAATTTTAGGAAAACAAGACAATTCTTGACACAATAATCTTTGCAGAATTTTATTTCATAAGATAATAAATAACAAAATAAATAAGCTAAAATAATAAAGGATGGATAAATCTTCAATTGCTCGGTGTCCCATAGGTGGGCCGAGGCTTTCTTGGCGGAGTTCGAATCACCTTTTTCTCCTAACCCTCAAGAGATTGTTTGAATTTCTCTGAGGGGTTGTTGGCGTCCTTTGTCATCCTTGTCCCGACGAGGTGGCAAGGTTTGTCCTCTATCAACAATGTACTGCCTCAAATGACCACGTTGTATGAGCTACTCGATCTGCCTTTTAAGATCAAAGTAGTCGTCCGTATCATGGTCGTGGTCGTAGTAGAAATGACAATACCTGCTGGGATTTTTGCTATTTGGGGCAGACTTCATTTTACCCAGCCAACAGAGCGTGAGATCATCTTGTATTTGGAATAAGATATGCTGCACGAAAGTATTGAGTGGCGTAAAGGCTTGTTGTTCTCTCAGAGGTGGGGGACCAAGGCGGTCCTTGGCAGAGATTTTCTCTATCCTATTTCTTTTGTTCTCTGTTTCTCTCATGTCTTCGCGGGTATCCTTCCTCTTTTTGCCCCATGGGAAGACTCACCTCGTCTGGCCTTAGTGACATCCTCGACGTTCATATACTTTTGTGCCCTTGACAACAACTCGAACATGCTGGATGATAGTTTCTTAAGGATGGAGAACATTAAACTGGAGGTGTGAACGCTGACAATAAAGGCAGCTAGGACTACCTTATCATCTGGTTTCTCAATCTGGAGAGTCTCCTCGTTGAAGCGGGCGAGGTAATCTCTGAGGCTTTTATCCCTGTCCTGCTTAATGGTAAGTAGGTGAGTCACTGATTTTTGATGTCGACATCTCCCAATGAAGTGAGAGACAAAGGATCTACTCAACTCAGCAAAGGAGTGAATTGAAAAGGGCATGATCTTTGCAAATCATTGGTGAGCATACCCCTTCAAAGTGGTAGGAAAGGCTCTACACATGATCTCCTCAGGCACATTGTGGAGTTGCATAAGGAACTTATATGTGTCAAGATGATCGAGGGGATCTTTGGTACCATTGAAGATCTCGATGGTAGGCATCTTGAGCTTCGAGGGTAAGGAATAATTGACAATCTCAGTAACAAAGGGTGTATCGATGCGTCTTACCAGGTAATCCATTGTCTCGGGCGCCTGTTCCTTAATGGCGTTGAGGGCATCATCGAGTTGGTTTTGTACCTCTCTGATCTTCTCGTCCCATTGATTAGGGACATCCTCAGTCGGGTGGTGATACTTGCTTTCATGGTCACCCATATTGGCCTTCTTCGTCTTCGTTCTCCTGCGCATGTAAGTGCGGAAGGGGTACACAAGAGCTCCCTGTGCGGTGAGGAGAGACTGCTGGGCGAGGGGTGCCCTGGTGTGGCCTTGGAGTATTCTGGCAAGGGCCCCCATGGTGGCAGCGCCCAGAAGAGATAGGTTGTTGCTCCTCTCCCGTTGGAGGAAGTGGGACTCCTCCCACAGGATGAAGGATGACGCCCCCTTGGGCGAACATCAGCTGGATGATCTGTTGGTTTTGGTTCACCAACAAATGCATGGTTTGGAAGAGTTGTTGTCCGACGACGGGGGTCGCTGTAGCAGATGTCACTAATGGTGCGAGGGGAGGCGGAGCCTCCTCCTAGTGGGCCTGGTTGTTGTCTCCCAGTTTCTAGCTCATTGATTTGGTACTGATTGTCATGGATTGAAAGAGTAGAAAAATTAGTCGTTTTCTACAAACGATACCAAACTGATAATGCACAAATTGGTATTGCACAAGATCAACAGTCAAGTATATGAATGAGTATAATTAATAAGCAGTAAATAGAGCAATCAATGGCAAAATAGTAAATATTGAGTTAACACAAAAATTTATAGTAGTTCGGTTCAGGTGACCTACTCCACTCTCGAGAATGGCAGCGGTGACAAAAGATCATTATTGATGAATAGTGTAACCGGGAGAATATACTCTAGGAGTATTACAATGTTTTAGGAGAGGGGAACAATGTGTATAGAGAGGTGTAGTATATGTAGGGATATTGTAGAGGTCTCAAGGTCATGCCAAGATGTCTCTCATAGTGGAGAGAGCTTAAATTATATAGGTTTAGTAAGGCGGTGACGTGAAAGAGAGGACTTCTACTATTTTAATAAGTACAATCAAAGTAAGATTAGATCTCCGTGCGTATCCCGATATCGTACTCCTATTCAGTTAAGGATCCTATTACTTGATGCTGAACTCCTCCCTTAGATCCCCTTGCCCCTGTCCTTCTTGGACTCCTCCTTAACTTTGGCTTCTCCTGACTTGAGCTTCTCCTTAGCTTGTTGGCTTAGGCTCCGAGGTGACGTGAGCCTTTCTTGATTAATTGAGTCTAGCTTAGTTAATTTCAAGTTCTTCAACCACCAAAAAAACTTAAAAGGTAAGCACTTTGAGTCTTGAGATACATTTAACATAAAATTATTGCTACGAACAATCCTTATCCGAGTTTGAAATTTCATACTCATATAAATTCCAAACTCATACGTAATACTTATTTATATTTTACTCTGTTGACTTTTATCCCATGCTACGAAACTCTTACTTCAAAGTTGGGTGTACCAAGAAAAAGAGCAATCGTATCAATCTACCACCAAAATAAAATAAACATGCATAATTGTATTAGTTGTTAAGTAATCAAGTTTATCCTCTTAAAATAAGAGATTTAAAGTTTGATATTTCTTATACCCCATAAGGATTAGTCATCTTTATTTTTCAAGAGATATGTTCTTAAACTAATTGAAGTTACGATGATCGATTCAAAATTTAAGGAAATAATCGTCGCAAGACTAAAGACCATATAGTAAAAATAGAATAAAATATGCATTGCCTTGACCGACTTAGATTGAACATAAACAAATTGAAGCAATTTTTTTTTTCTTTTGCGACTAGTCAATAATAAACACATGCAATCAATAAAAAAAATACACCTCCATGCAAATATGCAATGGGATTATAATATAAGAGATGAGACCAAAGGGAACACCCAGATTATGAGTGTGATCTTATCGGTCAATTAAAAGGGCTAGTAAAGTGCAACGACTTTGAAAGGTATACTATTGTTGATTTATAGAGGATAAACTAGAAATAAATCATAAAGATTGATCGGATGGTGTAATTTGAGGGGTTAGTATTTTGAGATTTTAAGTTCGAATTTAGCAAAAGAAATAAAAAAAAAATCTGGATTAATCTAATAAGTATTATTTGTATGCGGCTTGAAAGGACTCAACTCAAGTATTTGTTGATATTATCTTTTTTAAATTGTTCCTCTTGGTTTTAGAATGTATCATGACAATTAAGACAAAACTTTTACATATATAGCACAACAATCTTATCTAACCAAATGATGTGAGATAAATTCGTGGATGATGGACCAAATAGTTGATCGAACTCCTCACTACACCTTTTTCTTGAATCATTTAGACTGTTGAACAAATGAACTTTTAATTACAATATGATTGTTATATTTTAATATTATATAGTATGACCTGTTTTGAATTAGATTGAAGAAGAAATTAATTAAGATACGTATAAATTAATTTAAACACCCCTAATTGCTCAACTAGAGCACGAAGGAGTTTGAAAAAAAAGGTGCAGGTGTGATGGTTCCAGACTCCAGTTATAAGAAGAAAAATATAAATAAATAAGTTGAAGGATATAAGGATATAGTTGTAATTTTAAGAGTGAAGAGGGAAAACAAAGTTGGAAAAGGGCAGTACAAAGAAACAAGGAAAAAAATGACATCAACCAACAACTGTTGTATTTCTTGTGCTGGCGCGTTCATGACTTGGACTATATATAATATATTAGTTGTGTTTGACCTCGGAGTAAAGTCTAAGTTAGAAATTTTACAAAAAGTTTCTGATATGGGTAGTTGTGATCTTTCATGGAAACCATACAAAGCTTACTTTCTTTGACTGTCTATCTTCTCTCTGTCTTCCTCTCTCTAAAATTCTTTCCTTCCCTTCCTCTCTCTCTCTACATCTCTCTGGGTACAAAAGTGCCTTATAAAGCTTGTTATTCCAAAAGGGTGTTTCATATTTCAAGCTTTGAATTGATCAAACACCTCGTGGATTGGAAAAACTGCAGCCGTTGAATCAAACCAGCGTTCCAATTCCGTTCAAGAATATCTTTGTCACTCCTAACTGGTACGAGAATTCAAAGATCGCTGTACTGTTTCTAGTCCACGTGTGGAACGTATTTGAAGGTCCATTAGACTCTAATATTTTAATTTTCTTTTTATAATTCAGAATATAATAAGCAGGCATATATAAGGAGGGAAGGTGGTCAGAATCAGAGACAGCTTGCAATTAACTTGGTGAGAGAGTAGACATCTTTCGCTGATAATTTGATTGGGAAATAGAGAGAGAAAAAGGAGCTATTCAAAATTTCTGTTCTAATATTGTTGGTAAGGGACTCCTACATATATATCTTTCAATATCCTTTTTGTCTACCTGTATCATGTTTGTGTATATGTGTATGTGTGTGTGTGTGTTTATATGGTTGTTAATATTATGGTGTTTCTTGGGTTGCTGTTAGATTGGTAGATGTTTCAATTTGGGTATGAAAAGGTACTCCAATGTTGAATACCTTTATGTAGCATAACTAGGTGATTAGAGTTGAGCAAAAGAGGTTTGCTTTGCTTTGTTCTTTATTTTTTGTTATAAAACCTGAATGAGTTCCCTTAAATGGGCATCAACTGGTCTATTTTAGGGAAAAATTCTGAAGGAATGCAGTTGTTTCATGAAATTTAGATACAACTTTATGGATTTGAATTAATGTGTGTGTGTTTTCGCCGTTTTTTCCCTTCATTGTTTTTTGGTTTTTTTTTTTTTTTTTTTGGGGGGGGGGGATGGTGGCAAGTGTTATCTATCATTGAGCATCTGATTTTGTTTATTAATCTGTTCATTTGGCTGTTATTGTTGAATTGGAATGGGAATTTAGAAGTTAATTTTAGTGTTTAATTTTATATTTTTTTTACTTTCAAAGCCTCTCTATGTCTATTTCATAATTTACATGAATTTCCTGATCATGTTGTGCAGGAGAGGGCTTTCTTTCTTTGAATTGGAGTTTGTTATGGGTTTATCCACTTCTTTATTCTGGTCAGCTTGGGAGGAAATTGTGCGATATAGGTTTTTCGGTTTAGGCCAGGACATCAATCTCACATCTGAGGACCAAGAGACGACATTGAGAACTGGTAGTTTCAAGAAACCAGATTTACAGAACACCCCCAAGGCAAATGGATCTGACAAGCTCATTAGAAAGAATTCGATAAGCTGGAAGGCCAGTGAACCTTTAAAAGCAATGCTTGAAACATCTCTTTCATTCAAGGGTCTAGTTCAAGACATAAAGAAATCACAATCGAATGATTCAGATGCAAAAGTCAATGGGTTAATTCACAAACCGATTCCCACACTTTCTCTTCCTGAACCGGCTGTATTGGTTTCTCCAAGACCCCTGTGTGAGCTTGATGCTGCTGCAGTTAAGCTTCAGAAAGTATATAAGAGCTATCGGACTCGAAGAAACCTTGCGGATTGCGCAGTGGTGGTTGAAGAGCTCTGGTTTGTCTCTTGACATACACTACACTATCTTGGATATTGTTTATGGTCTCATTTGTTTGGTTTTCGGTTTTAATTTTTGGTCGTTTCAAACACTGTAGGTGGAAGGCATTAGACTTTGCAGCTCTAAAACGTAGCTCTGTTTCATTCTTCAACGATGAGAAACCAGAAACTGCTGTTTCACGGTGGGCTAGGGCAAGGACAAGAGCTGCCAAGGTACTTTTCCATACCCCATCACATTTCAACTTGCAAAAGATTATCCCCCGATTTTTTTTTTTGGAAAAATTTCGATTTGCAATATTAACTTTCTTATTATTGCAGGTGGGAAAGGGATTGTCCAAAGATGAGAAGGCTCAAAAACTGGCCCTACAACATTGGCTGGAAGCTGTAAGTCATCCATTAAAACTTTTTCGGGATTTAATAAATCATAGTTCAAGAGATCACGGAGTTGGTTTGGCTTAAGCCAGTTTGTAGCAATGTTTAAATTGGAAAAAAAAATCACTTGATGTTCAATTGGATACAAACTTGAAGTAGTGCTGTATGTCATTGGTTTTTCATTGCTGCCTAGAAGCCAACCTCTTGGTCCCTTAATAAATAACAAGGGTCAAATCATAATTACTCATTCACCCTAGTGAAAGAAATGGAGAAAGAAAGCCGGTGACATACAGCATCTTGCTTCCCTTGAAATGGCTTTCCAATTGTGACATACCTTAAAGCTGATCTATTGGACTCAACTGAATATATGGTATAGTACTTTTGCAGATTTAGGGGAAAGACAATTTGTGAAGTCTTTAAACTGAAGCTTCTCCACTTTGCCGCTTGCGTGCCCTTGATCTCACCATTTATTTCTTTGTCTTTTGTACAGATTGATCCACGCCATCGGTATGGGCACAATTTGCACATGTATTATGATGTCTGGTTTGAAAGTGAAAGCACACAACCTTTCTTCTACTGGTAAGAAACTGTGAATATCGTTAATTCTATCTTGTTCATGATTAAATTGCAGTAAAAGAATAAATAAATCGATACAGAATACCTTATTTTACCTACATATGAATTTTGGGTTTTTAAATGAAAGATTTGGAACCTTGAACTTTGCAAATTTGTTCCTCCACTCTACATACTTATCCAACTAAGAGAAGAGAACTTATAGTTCTTCAATTTTTTTATTTGCCCCTTTTTCTCTGCATCCAAACAGAATATATAGGATATATGGAACAAATACCTATACACAGAACTTCACATTTTCTGACTTCCTCTTATAATTATTGCAATTCTGTAATGCGAAGGTTGGATGTTGGAGATGGCAAAGAACTGAATATTGAAAAGTGCCCAAGGATCAGTCTACAACGTCAATGCATCCAGTATCTAGGACCAGTTAGTTTTCAATCCATCTTATAATTGTAAACAATCATATGAATGGATTTGTATCCCAATGTACAGGCTTATGCAGATATGAGAAGATGTTAATATGTTATTCCTTTGTTGTTCCTATGTCAGAAAGAGAGGGAAGCATATGAAGTAATTGTTGAAAATGGGAAGCTTGTGTACAAACAAAGTGGTATTTTCGTGGAAACCATCGAGGGTTCTAAATGGATATTTGTTCTTAGCACATCGAGGGCTTTGTATGTGGGACAGAAGAAGAAAGGTGTGTTTCAGCATTCAAGTTTTCTAGCTGGTGGTGCCACCACGGCGGCTGGAAGATTGGTTGCCCACAGTGGTATTCTTGAGGTATATTATGCATACATATCTACTTATTTTCTCACGCATTATGCATTTAGAAAACCATAAACCTAATATACTTCCACACATCATTCTAAGTATGTGTTTAACATAATTCTACAGGCTATATGGCCATACAGTGGTCACTATCACCCAACAGAAGAGAACTTCAGGGAATTCATTGGCTTCCTTGAAGAGCACCATGTAGATCTCTCAAATGTTAAGGTAAATGCTTCAAATCTCTTTATGGTACATTCTATTATTTGTATTCATTTGTTTTTGGTCTTTTTATATATCTGTTCTCATGGGTGCACATTATGAGTACTTTGTATATACACATACAGAGGAAAATATAGTAACTTCTCATTATCTCGCCTTCGCTAAACTAGTTTGATATGCAACATAAGTTGCCCAGACAAGTGGCTGATGAGCACTCTTCCTGTTTGTTTTTGGATGCAGAGATGTGCAATTGATGATGACTGTCCTTCATTTAAGGTTCCTGAAGAGGAATCTCAGCCAAAGCCAGTGACGGGTCTTGCTACCACCACACAATCAGTAGAAATAAGCACAGCTGATATAGATGGTCCAGCAAGAGAAAGAGCAATTGCGGCAGATAGTCAAGAAGATGAGGACACTAATGATGTCAATGAGGATGCACCAGTCTTTAGCATGACTAAACGCTTATCATGCAAGTGGACTACAGGAACTGGACCTCGCATTGGTTGTGTTAGGGACTACCCAACTGACCTACAATTCCGTGCGCTTGAACAAGTTAATTTGTCGCCTCGGGTGGTTTCCGGATCCTTTGGTACCTATGGCCCAATTCCCTCGCCTCGACCAAGCCCAAAGGTCCGGCTCTCTCCTAGGCTTGCATACATGGGACTCCCTAGCCCTAGGACCCCCATTGCCATAGCTAACTGAGCTAAATGGGTAAATGAGTCAACATTGCTGGCACCTGAGCTACCTCTAGAACTCTCAGGATGACCTGTTACGGCATAAAGGTCAAGAATAAAGGAAATAACTCAGATTTGTTCCTTGTTTGTTTGTTAGAATTTTTTTGTATAGATAGCTGAGGTAAATCATCTATCACCCAGTTTTGGCTCCGGTTTTGTTGGAGGTTGTTGGGTTTTAATTAATTCTTTCATCTCTTGTAAAGGAAAATAAGGCTAATAATTCTTACTGATAATGAATCTCTCTCTCTCTCATTCATGTGTGTTGGCCTGTTTTCTTCTCAGCTGCAAAATTACAGATTCTTCTCTAACTTTTATCTTTAAACTAGATGACCATTGCTGACCAGTGCTTACATTTTTATGTTACTACCAGAGTTCTTATGACCTTATTGATATGAAAATCCACCATGCTCAGGTTCTATCACCATTTTTTTCACCTCTGAACAAAGGCCTGAGATTAAAATATAATGCCTTGCAACAGGAAAATACCTGTGACATTTTACTTAAGTTGATATCAAAGTCTTACCACATAGTCTTAAATCTTCACCATTTAAGAACTGGTGCAACTCAAGCTTGTTCATGAAACATTGAGCTGAAGTTTTAGCTCAGACCAACCAAAAAAAGTCACTTCAACTCAGTAGTGTACGTTAACAGGGAAAGGCCATGGTATCAAAGGTCTAATTTTTGATACTGTACCAAAAGTTAATAGTAAATTACAACTTAATCTAGTTAAGTCATGACAAAAAGAGGTGGTTTGGAATCGATGACAACTTTTTTAGTTGTAACTTTTTATTGTTGTAACTTAAGTCGAATTGAGCTTGTACCTCACTCTAATTTATTTTATAATTATTTTGGTACGATACCCAACTCGATACCGCAGTTGTTGCCCTGTTAACATGGCCAAAGCAACTTCCACTTTAAATGAAGCTTGACTCCTAAATTTCCATCAAGAGATGCCATCTACTTCTGGGAAGGCTGAAACTGATGATATCTGAGAGTTGTCATCACTCCGTATAAGTGTTTTTCTTTAAGATAGCCACATTACCAAGCAGTACTATCATCAATGAATCACAATTGAGCCTACAGAATAGTGGTCCAACTGGTCCAACACTCCAACTGGTATCTATGTACCCAACAACCAAGCTGTGAATATTAAAACCAACACTGAGTACTATATTTATCTAATCATCTAACTCTAAAAACAAATCTGTGTTGTAGCTTTCAAATTGGAAAATTTTCCACTTTCTGAGAAAAGGCTCTGCAACAGCAGTCAAGCAGCCTAAAAGCTTCTTCTTGAATAGGAGTAGACTGTACCTGAGAGGAATCTAAGGAGCGTAAGATATGGATAGATTATGATATCGAAAAATAATTTTTTGATATAATATTTTTATTTTATGTAATCACAATTCACATCATGACCCATGAAAAGATTTATTTTTTAATTATTTTCTTTGATTTTTTTATTTTTACAATTAAAGCTACAAATAAGTTTCAAAAAAATGATTAACAGCTATATTTAGTATGAAACAAAAATTAATTTTTTGTATGATGTTTTTATTCTAAATAATAAGCTGTTGTAATTATATTACTATATTCCTTTTTTGCGTTTTTCCTTTCTCCTAGTAATGTGTAGGGTGTAGACAGTTCAATGTTGTTTTGAACTGTTACATCATTCTGGAGTTCTTGCTCAAAAGCGTTTTAGTGAAATATTTTCCCACTTCAAAAGATCAGAAGAAAGTAATTGTCGGTCTAGACTGCTTGAGAAGAAGGCAGAATCACTTGTATGTGAAGCAAAATCCCTCGCCCCAACACACTTACAAAGAGGATTAAGTAAGTGAGGTACTCTTGATTGCTTTAAGCAGAGCTTTTCTGTTTTGTTGCCTTTTTCACTATTCCTGTTCTCCAACAATCATGCTTTCCCACTGCAAGTTTATGTAGAGCTATCTTTCTCTCTCTCTAGGAGTATCATTTCATCTGGGGTTGTGCAGACAATGAAGAAAACAATTTGCTCTTTTCTAATAGCCACTCTGCATTTAGTAACTTGGGTTTCTGCAGCAAGTAGACCTTTTGCTCCGTATGATGGTGGGCAAGGTTAGACTTATATTTCTTTCACCCATTTAATCCCAATATGGTTGTTTTCACCTTTGCCTTTTCCATAAAGAACCCATTCTCTTTCTCAACTTTTTGGTCCTTTATCCCTAGAGTTCTCACTGCCATTTACTAACTTTCTAAGATTGATCAGACCCAGAACAAATCTTGCTGTCTCCCCAAGTTGCCTTTGACACAAGACAGGTATATTTGCTCTCTCATTCTCTCTCTCTCAATAAGGATTTGTTTGGTATACTAAAATGGCTTGATCTTTGTACTTTGAAGGGACTTGTGAGCATGGAAGAGGAAACTTATGAAGGGCTGAGCAGAGTTGGGTCAAAACCACCAAACTGTGAGCACAAATGTGGAGGTTGCAGACCGTGTATTGCCATTCAAGTACCCACCATCAGAACCAATGACAATTTGAGTGCCAAGTATTCAAATTATGAGCCTGAAGGTTGGAAGTGCAATTGTGGCACATCTTTCTCCAACCCATGACTGCTCTGCCTCATATAACACATACAAACGGAGAGCAGCCACCCACCATCTCTCTCCATACGTAGAACTTGAGATGATGCATTTGGTGTTAAATGAAATTTTGGGCTTGTTGAAGTTTTGGCTAGAAGTTGGAGTTAATTGAAACTTAGAAAATTGTCTATCAACTTCCACTACCTCTAGAATATGAAGTTGATGAAATATTTTTGAAATGGCAAGAAAAGAGTGTGCGACTTTCGTAATTTTTTTGAAATCCGGGTTTGATCCTGCAAATCTTTGAATTCCGGGGTTGATTTTGTAATTTTATATTTTTTTTGGTGGATCTTGCAATTTCTTGGAACTCTTAGGTCTAGTCTAATACAGGTCATTTGGGTTGATTTGACATCTGTTTTAATTAGTTTTAGTCCCATTGAATTTGTGCAAAAGCGTACTATTGAATTACGATCAAAAAAAATTATGATCCATTGTTGATTTAACGACAAAATCGATTAAATCTACAAAATATATCAATTATTAGGACTAAGTAACATTAATGATTTAGTTACCCGAAAAAAAAATTAATGATTCATAAATAAATCAAAAAGCGAAATTTTATGACCCATTCAAGTTGTCAAATCGTTTCAGCCGAGAAAGGTTCATGCTAGATCTTAATGGATTTGTGTTAAAAATTATTTTACTCATATTTGATTCATTTTATTCATCTGTGTCTAATGAATCGTGTTGTATATGAATTATGTATAATTAATATATAAACAAATTGTGTCGTGAATTTCTTTTAATTGAATTCATCCATACCTAATTATCGTTAAAAAAAAAACTCGTACCTAATTTATTTATTAATTTTGTGGTGTGTTGGGATCACTCATTTACGAAATCAATAACTTAAAAAATACTTAAATGCTTTAATATTATATCTTGTTAATCGATCACGTCATATGTTGACACTCTTCCTTGTTCTAACCTAATTCACACCGGCGAAACCTCGCACAATGCAGGACAATACGACATAATAACAAAAAACAAAGAATATTTATAGGTTTTCTATGGAGTTGTTAGAAAGAGTTCAACCTTAACTACAACAAAGATGAAGGGCCTAAAAATTCTGTCAAACGATCTCCACGTAGTTTTAGGAAAGTTTCATATTTGGGGGTGTATATTATTATCCTAGAATCTCTCTTAAATTCCTCCAATAATAACTTGTGTAACAAATCACTCGATAACATTTGATGGTGTATAATCGCGTTGATGAGCAAAAAGTGCAGATGACGTATGATAATCGTGGATCAGAGTTGTAAGGCTCGGATGTGATGTTGGAACGAAATGCAAAGGGGATTAGAGGGACACAATCAATGAAAATATAGTGGTTCACCGGCTCAAGAGCTTGACTAGTCCACTCTTTAATGGAGGCTCCTGCTCCCTTTCCTCTATTCACTAATCAAATGTATTACCGTCCCCTCTCTCTCGAAATTAGGATTCCTCTGCATGGAGGCGTTACATAGCATTTATAGGACTATTTCCTATTCTGTAGGATCTTAGCCAAGATCTTCGCTTGCCATTAGTGGGACTCTTTTTGATTTTAGGAAAGAATCTTGGTTGGTTGAAAGTTTCATGCTTTGAACCCAATTTTTGCAGTTATCCAGCTGTTCCCTGGTCAGTTCCGCTATCATCTCCCCAGGGGGAGCTCTGGCCCTGGACTTCTGAACTCCTCGTATCCTACCAGACCTCCTAACCTGATCTCGTTTCCTGAGCTCACTTTTATCACTTATTTGAAGTATCATCAGTTGCCCCCCAGCCCCTGGTTCAAGTAAGCTTGGGCAGGGGTTGAGCTGTTTTTAAACCAAGCTGGGCTTGCATGTGGCTGTCCTTAGCTTGCATGTGATAGATGTCTTTTTGACGATTTTCAGCAATCATGGCCTCCTTGGTTCCCGCGCACGTTTCAGCCCACATCTCTCAAGCTTTAAATACTCTATCAGAACTGCCATTTTCCACTGTTTGGTTTCTTCGCTGTCTTTCCCTTCTTGCGATCTCTTGGCTTTCTGGTTTGAAGTTCTCCGATTCTTTACTCAAGATCAAGTTTCCTGGGTTTGATTCGAAGATTCTCATTGCCCTTTTTCTTCAATTTCGCTCTAGGTTGTGCTCCTTCCTAACTAGGTACGCCTCTTTTGCCCCCTCTTTCGCCTTTTCTCATCCTGGATCCCTCGAGTTCAAGGTGGTCATTGCATTTCTGGGCTTGTCAGTTCCTTTTCCTCTGGAACAGAAACTGTTGCTTGTCTTCTCTTTCCCACTTCGTGGATTGGGGCCCTATCGTGCGAATTCTCGTTGTTGGAAGCTACTGTGTTGACCCTAGGGTTATCTGGGAGTGTCTTACTAGTATCACTCACCTTTACCGTTCTTTCAATTTATCTTTCTCCTGTCCAATCATGTCTACCCCTTCTAGGGCTACTCACTCCTCTGTTTTTCTTTTGGGAGAAAATTCTGCCGAATAGGACACTGATTTAGAGGATGTGAGCGAGGAAATCAACAATTTCCTTGGTGTTGATGGTGTCAACGCCGAGGAGAATACTGAGGAACCTCCCCCATCGTCTTCTTCTGTGCCCCCTAATCCTAACAAAGGTAAGGACAAGGTGAGTGGGGTAGGAGTCTTTGACAGCGCAACGGACTCCGGGGCTGCCTTTAGGCATGCTGAGATCGTAGGACCTAGTGAGGTTGACCCTTCTCTTATGAAAATCTTCGGTGGTTGTTACGATATTCTTCCTAGTGTCTAGCCCTGGTGTCCAGATAAATACACCTCATATGTTGCCTAGGTTCATAAGAAAGTCTGTTTTTTCGTGGCCACTTTTGAGAATGACCTTCGCTTCCCTGTGCACCCCTTTATCAAGAGTGTTTTTGTAACACTTCAACATCTGCCCTACTCAGTTCTCCCAGAATTTCTTGAGTGTTCTGGTGGATTTTCTAATTTTATTTAAGAAACATGAGCTCGGGGTTCCCAGCCTTTCCTTGCTTGTGGATCTTTTTAATGTCAAGCTCACCTCATCTGAGGGTTTCTTGTACATCTCCAAGCGAACCACAGCTACGCAGATCATTACTCACCTCCAGAGCTCCCATAATGGTTGGAAGAAATACTTCTTTTTCATTGGGGGCACCAACTGGGAGTACAACTCTGCTGATAGGACTGACACTCTTGGTATCCCTAGAGCTTGGTCCACCCCCGATAACTTAGGTGAGTCTTTGCTCGAACTGACTAAGCTCTAGTTTAAAAATTATCAAATTACCTTTTTGGCCTTCATTCTCCTTGTATTGTTTTTTCGGCATTCGACCTGAGCTCAATGCCAAGGATAAGAAAGTGAAGCGGAAGTTGGAGAAGTGTAATCCAGAGAAATACTCCGAGCTCATCAAGCCCTGGGTTCTAGTAACACAGGAATTTAGTCCTCCTGAGGTATCGATAGAAGCTCTGTTTCCCATTTCTATTGTTAGATCTGAAGACGTAGAAGGTAATGCTTTCTAAATTGGTTTCCTTGCCACCCCTTCTTTTTTCTCTTTTCTGTTTAACTAGCTTGGTTCAGATCTTCCAGGTCCCTCCATAATGAAATCTACTCCTGAGGAACTCTAGGCTAAGGTTGACCTATTGAAGAAGAACAGGAATAGTAGCAAATGAAAGGCTGAGATCAGCACTGGAGGAAGCCTCATTGACAGAGCTAAGGTGAAAAAGTTGGGAGTGTCTTTTCTTGCCTTGAGCAAAGAAGGACAAACTCCCTCATCTCAATCCCTGACAACCTCATCTTTTCAAGGGGCCCAGCTTACTCCCAAAAAGACTTCTGAGCCAGGGCTGGCTTCCCCTACCTCTTTTGAGGTTAAGGAGGCCTTGAGGTTGATTACTAGAATTCAGCCAGACCTCACTCCTCCTGGACCAACTGAACGACCATCTTAGCTGCCTCTCCGGAGCCCCAAAGTTGAAAAGAGAGAGGACCGGGAAATTGATGAAGATTCCTTCTTTGACAACGCTAAGTTGGCTGATGGGGCCATTTCATCCATTCTTTCTGAATCCGATATTCAGAGGGCCTCCTCCATGCCCCCTGAGGCCTATTTCTGTTCAGCTCTCCAAGGAGCAGCCACTGTAAGCGTTTTTACTCTCTCGCTTAGCTTGTTTCTATTGGCTTGTGCTGATCTGTACTTATTTTCTTTTCTGCCCCTAGATGGCTCTCCATTTGAAGAACTTGATGGGCAGGGTCCGATCTTTGGAGGACTCTGCTAGAGCATTGAAGACATACAAGTTTAATGTCGCTGAGCTGACCTTTGACAATGAGAACCTCAGAGCTCAAGGAGCAAATGAAGAAGCAGGTTTCTGACCTCGAAGGCTTTCAAGCAGCCAAAGATAGGGCTGAGGAAAGAGAGAAGAAGGTCAGGGATGAGCTGAGGATGATCGGGGAAGAGTTGCTACTCAAAACTAATGTCTAGACCAAAGCTAGCCAGGAAGCCTTTGATGCTCAGAGTTCCCTCAAGGGCCTTAAAAAGGAGTATGTCATCCTGGCTGAGGTGAACGAGGCCTTATGTAGTGAGTTTGAGATGCAGAAGACTACTGTCAAGAAGAGGAATGACATAATAGCTAAGCTGAAGGATGATGTGACCACCAAGTGGGCCTTTGGATGGCTGGCCTTTCACGCAAAGCAGAGAAGGCCTATCCAGAACTCAACTTTGACTTTGTCATCCCCACTGAGGAGGGGTTGGAGGAAACTGATTCAAAGGGTGATGACAACACCTTGGCTCCTACTGTTTCTGACAAGGCTCTGGAAAGTGCTGAAATGTCCACTCCTCAAGTTGTTCCTGCTAACACGTCCTTTTCTGCTGATCTAGTAACGAGAGCTCTGATTGAGATTGAGGCCCCAGCCTCCTTGCCTATTCCTGACCCCTCTGAGATTTCAACTTCTGCCTTGCCAGAAGGGTCGCTTGATGAGCTACCGAGCTCTTCTTCTGTTCTTGTTGCTGAGATTCGTCTTGCTAAACTG